ATATATATATATATAATATATATATATATATATATATATATATATATATATATATATTATATATATATATATATATATATATATATATATATATATATATATATATATTATATATATATATATATATATATATATATATACTATATATATATATATATATATATATATATATATATATATATATATATATATATATATATATATATATATATATATATATATATATATATATATATATATATATATATATATATATATATATATATATATATATATATATATATATATATATATATATATATATATATATATAATATATATATATATATATATATATATATATATATATATATATATATATATATATATATATATATATATATATATATATATATATATATATATATATGATGACACTATATTCCGGGATATCATCCGTTCGCTCGTTGAACTCCGACTGGAATCCTGCATCCGACTGGAATCCTGCAAATCCTGCATCCGACTGGAATCCTGCAGACGTTTCGCCAAAATCTCACTTGGCATCTTCAATGCTCGCGCTCCGAAAACACTTCGAAGTGTTTTCGGAGCGCGAGCATTGAAGATGCCAAGTGAGATTTTGGCGAAACGTCTGCAGGATTCCAGTCGGATGCAGGATTTGCAGGATTCCAGTCGGATGCAGGATTCCAGTCGGAGTTCAACGAGCGAACGGATGATATCCCGGAATATAGTGTCATCATATTTTTCCATCCGTGAATCAATACGTGAGAATATATATATATATATATATATATATATATATATATATATATATATATATATATATATATATATATATATATATATATATATATATGATGACACTATATTCCGGGATATCATCCGTTCGCTCGTTGAACTCCGACTGGAATCCTGCATCCGACTGGAATCCTGCAGACGTTTCGCCAAAATCTCACTTGGCATCTTCAATGCTCGCGCTCCGAAAACACTTCGAACACTGTGTTATATATATATATATATTTATATATATATATATATATATATATATATATATATATATATATATATATATATATATATATATATATATATATATATATATATATATATATATATATATATATATATATATATATATATATATATATATATATTGTATATATGTATTTTGTACGATTTTTGATTTGCGGCTAATAATTTACTCTGTAAAAAAGCAATTTTCTAGGTCTTTCAGCCAATAATTTGAAAACTCGGTATATAATCGAAAAAATGCCTGACCTAAATGTTATTGCACTGGATCTTCTGCGTCTGTCGGTTAAAGAATTTTGCCAATCGGATTATGGAGGAAACATATTTTTCTGGAAGCGAAGCTAAAATTACCAAAAAAAAATCAAACATATTTAAAAATTACTTGGTAATATTTGATTGCACCCAACTTCTACAGTTTAAATGTGGACACGGACTTTTAGTTCTCTGCTAAATTTGAAGTTGATATTTGCAAATTTAGGACACTTAACACATTTTTCATTTAGCACGGAATATCGGGAACGCCCTGTATAATTGGTGAGAACCTTAATTTTCAGTTATAACCAACTTTCAACAATAGGGGGACCCATTTTTCTTTTTTTTTTTGAATTTGCTGCGCACCCTGTATGTTTTTGAAATATTGTCAGGAATAAAAGTTTATAGAGCCGTATTGTCTGCTTCTTCTGGTTCAAGAATTTTTTTGGTCTCGTACACAGTTTTTGAAAAATGATGTTTTTTGCAGACCCTGGCACGCGCGATTTTTTATTTTTTTAGAATACTTCCCTAGCCCCAGCCCCCCCATTTTCAATAGGTTCCGTCACAGGGCAAAGCTGCACGTATGTGCCAAATATAAAGTCGATTGCTTCAAATTGCGGACACTTATCGTATTTCATAACAAGGTCCGAAAAACAGTCGAAAATCGCGAAAAAAAGATGGATATTGGCGTGGGATCAGGGCAATTTCTTATAAGCTTATGTGCCTCGTGGAGGGTTAAAAGAAGGCAAATTTCAATTTATTAGCTCCAACGGTTCGAAAGTTATTCAGGAAAAACCAAAAACGAGAACGGAGAACGGAGAACGGACAGACAAAAAAAATTTTTTTTCGACGGTGATCATTTCAGTACCAACGGTGATCCCGTAGGACTTACCGTTACCGAGATATAAAATTTTTATACGCAGAGCGCAGATACTTTCGAAAAGTCGATTCCATCGATTTTCGAAAGTAACAAGAATATCAAACGCAGCACCACTCTACTGCAATATGATATAAGTAGTCTTTCAGTTAACGCGTTGGTTTTCCTTATTTCCATCCTACATAATGGAGTTATTTTAAAATTGTGCTCAATGCGAAGTTAACGGAACTTCAAAAGGTACTTTGAATTTCATCCTCCCTCCACGCCTGCCGTGAAATAAGCTCGACAATCTCTAAATCTTTACATTCGAGACGGGAGAGACTTCAAAATCGGAAGATGATAATGCGGACTCGTCGCAAAGGCAAAAGCAAATATTTCGGTAGTAATTAAAGCTTCTTCGCCCAGGTTAAATTGCTCGGGTAACTTAAAACAAACTTTCGCTA